TTTTCATTTTAATCGAGTCCAATTTATTAACTAGTACTTCTGGTATTGTATCTAAGAAATCCTTGCCTAACCCAAAGTCTCAAAGGTCTTCTATATTTTCTAGCTCAAAGTTTTATAGTTTTAGGTTTTATTAGGTCTATCAACTATTTTGAGGTAATTTTTATATATGGTGTAAATCAGGTATTCAAGTTCATTTTGTTACATCCGGGTAGCAAATTGTTTCTGAACTATTTGTAGAAAAGCTACCCTTTCTCAAGTGAATTGCCTTTACACTTTCATCAAAAATCAGTTATCCATACATGTGTGGGTCTATTTATATACTCTCTATTCCATGGTCGGGCAAACTTTTTATGTAAAGGGCCAGGGAATAAATTTTTAGGCTTTGTAGACCACAATGCTTCTGTTGGAACTACACCATCTGCTGTTGTAGCACAAAAGCAGACACCGATAATATATAAACAAATGGGTGTCGCTGTGTTCTAACAATACTTTCCAAAAATAGGAGGCACCCTGGAGTTTACCTGTGAGTTCTAACTACCCAATTTCTGCTCTGTTCTGTTCCATTGATCTATTTACTTTTAAGTATTGAAATCAATGTTCTGTTTGGCCAGCATGGCTACTGCTGGATGGAGTGTTATATAAATGTCAATCAGACCAATCTGGTTGATAGTGTTATTCAAATCTTCTATATCTTTAGTCATTTTCTATTTCCTCTGTCAATTATTGAAAAGGGGGTTTGATATCCCCAAATATAACTGTAGCTTTATTTCTTCTTTCAGTTCTTTCAGATTTTGCCCTATTTTGAAGCTACATTATTAGGCACATAAATGTAAGGTCTTGAGGAAGCGATTCTTGTTATCATTGTGCAATGACTTTCTTTACCAATGGTCATATTCTTGGCTCTGAAATCTACTTTGACATCATTATAGACATCTAATCTTCTCTTCCATTAGAGTTATCATGGTATATCTTTCCCCATTCTTTTATATTTTACCTATTTCTTTCTTCATATTTAAAGAGCCTTGTTTTTTATGTTTTGTTTTGGTAGGTAGCGTACAGTTGTATCTAATCTGACAACCTCTGCTTTCAGGCCACTTATATTTAATACCATTATTGATATAGTTAGGTTTAAAGCTATCATCTTAAAATTTTTTTTTTTAAGATTTTATTTATTTGCGAGAGAGAGAATGAGAGACAGAGAGCATGAGAGGGAGGAGGGTCAGAGGGAGAAGCAGACTCCGTGCTGAGCAGGGAGCCCGATGTGGGACTCGATCCTGAGACTCCAGGATCCCAACCTGAGCCGAAGGCAGTCGCTTAACCAACTGAGCCACCCAGGCGCCCTAAAGCTATCAACTTTATATTTGTTTTCTACCTATTTGATCTGTTCTCCCTCTTCTTCTATTTCTGTCATTTGTGTTAAGTGACTATTTTTTATGATTTCCATTTTGTCTTTCTTTTTGGCTTATAAGCTATTAATTCTTTGTTTTGGTATCTTAGTGATTACTTTGAGATTTATAGTATACATCTTAAACTTATCAGTCTACAGCACCTCACGCACAGTAAAGTATACTAGAGTATACATCCATTTCTCCCCTCTGGATCTTTACGCTATTTTTGGCATACAACTTACTTTTACATATTTTATAAACTTCAGATGTACTTTATATATGTTGTAAACCATACTGTCATTGTTTTTGTTTAAATAATTATTTTAAAAGAGATTGCAATAATACAAATATCTTGTGTATACATCCATGTCTACTACCATTCCTAGAGCTTCTCACCCTTTGTCTAAGGTCTACATTTTCATCTAATATTTTCCTTCTGTCTGAAGGATATTATTTTATTATTATTTGTAATGTGGGTCTGCTGGTGATGGATTCTTTAAGTTTCTATATACCTAAAAATATTTCATTATTATTTTTCATAGATATTTTCACTAGGTATAGATTCTCAATTTTTCTTTCAGTACTTTAAAAATGTAGCTATTAAGTTCTTGCATGCACTGTTTCTAATGAGAAATCTACTATCATCCTTATCTTTCTTCTTTTGTATGAAAAGTCTCTTTTCTCCTCTGGATGCATATAAGTTTTTTACAACTAGTTTACCACTAATTTTGAGCAATCTGACTGTAATGCACCTTGGTAAAGTTTTCGTCATGTTTCTGGTGCTTAAGAGTTTGTTGAACTTCTAGGATCTGCTGGTTTAAATAGTTTTCATCAAATCTAGAAAAATTGTGGCCATTATTTCTTTGAATATATTTATCTGTGACCCTCGTGCTCCTACCCTTGAGGATTCTAATAACATGTATTATTAGGATGCTTGAAGTAGTCCCCCAGCTCACGGCTCAATCCACTTTTTCCTTTTTTTCTATGTTTTATGATAATTTCTACTGCTGTGTCTTTAGGTTTACTGATCTTTTTGTCTGCAATGTCTAATCTACCATGAATCCTAACTTGTGTATTTTTCATTTCACACACCATATTTATCATCTCTAGAGGTTTAACTGGGTGTTTTTCACATATTCTATAATTCTACCTAACTTTTTGAACATATAGGACGCAGTTATAATAACTTTTAATTTCTCTGGTAATTCTAACATCTATGTCAGCTCTGGGTTAGTTTTAATTAATTTTTCTCATTATACATTGTACTTTCAAGCCTCTTACATGCCTGGTAATTTCTGATTGGATGTTGCACACTGAATTTCACCTTATTTGCTATTGGATCTGTATTGGATTTTTTTAGATTTCTATAATCTTTTCTTTTTAAAGATCAATTGGGCCACCCAAACGCCCCTGTATTTCTATATTCTTGAACTTTGTTCCAGGACACAGTTAAGTTACTTGGCAAAGCATGGTCCTTTCATGTCTTGCTTTTAAGATACACTGGTAACTAGGTATTTACCTGAAGAATACAAAAATATTAATATAAAGGGATACATGCACCCCTATGTTTACAGTAGCATTATCTTTAACAGCCAAATCATGGAAATAGCCCAAGTGTCCACTGACTGATGAATGAAGGAGATGTGTGTGTACATACACATATGTATATATGTATACACACACACACACACACACACACACACACACACAGAGGAATATTACTCAGCCATCAAAAAGAATGAAATCTTGCCATTTTCAATGATGTGGATGGAACTGGAGAATATTATGCTAAGTGAAATAAGTCGGAGAAGACAAATACCACATGATTTCACTCATATATGGAATTTAAGAAACAAAACAAAGGGGAAGAAAAGAAAGGCAAAGAAACAAACTTAAAAAAAAAAGATCTATTTATTTGAGAGGGAGCAGACCCCTTGCTGAGCAGGGAGCCTGATGGAGGGCTTGATCCTGGGACCCTGAGATCATGACCTGAGCTGAAGGCAGATGCTTAATTGACTGAGCCACCCTGGCGCCCCCCAGACTGTTAACTATAGAAAACAAACTAATAGTTACCAGAGGAGAGATGTGTGGGGGGATGGGTGAAATAGGTGATGGGGATTAAGGAGTGCACTTGTGACGAGCACTGGGTGTAGTATGGAAGTGCTGAATCACTATATTGTAAACCCGAAATTAATATCATGTTCAAATCCCAGGAATTTAAACAAAAACTTAAATATACTGGGTGGGATTGGAGCAATGCTTATTCTAGAGTGATTTGTTTCCTACTACTGAGGCAGGATCCTTCTTTGTCTCTATCCAATATCCCATGAGTCAAATGGTTTCCAACCTGGCTGGTGAGGACAGGAACCTTTCCTGACCCAATGGAAGCACCAAGTGCTGTTATCTTTACCACCTCCAGGAGGTTCTTTCCCTGGTCTGTAGTAATTTCTTTACATGCATGCACTGGTCAGCACTCAGGTAAATAGCTGAATAGGACCTCTGAAGCTTTCAAGAGTCCTCTAGTATTCTGCTTTGTGAACTCTAGCTCCTTTGGTATTCCCAGCCATTTCCACAGGTCAAAGAGAATCCACAGAGCTTACCTTGGATTACCCCGACCTGTGCCATGGCCTGGAAACTTTCTCAAGGTAGTAGGCTAGTGCAATCATAGGGTCCATCTTATTTGTTTCCCATCTATCAAGACCACTGCCTTTCATTATTCAGTGTCAAGTGTCTTGATTATCACTGTTTCATGTGTTTTTTTGTTTTATGGTTGTTTCAGGCAGAAGGGTAAATCTTATCCTCCTCATCCCATTTTGGCCCTAAGTGCAAGTTGCCTAGTCATTTGGATACCAAATCAAGCAAGGATTACATGATAAAACTATTGTCAAACTATTATGCATATTGGTGTGACAAATCCTAATTAAAGCATTTGCAAATTAATTTTAGCAACATACATGAAAACAAAAAACCCCATAAATACAAGTATTAAGCCTAAAAATAGGGGCACGTGGGTGGCTCAGTCGGTTATGCATCTGCCTTGGGCTCAGGTCATAATCCCAGGGTCCTGGGATGGCACCCCAAGTCAGGCTCCTTGCTCAGTGGGGAGTCTGCCTCTCCCTCACCCTCTACCCCTCCCCCCATCCTGCTCGTGCTCTCTCTCTCCCTCGAATAAATTAATTTAAAAAATCTTAAAAAAAAAAAAAAAAGCCTAAAAGTATAAGTATGGTCCATTAAGCAAAAAGATAAAATATTACCCACTGTATTAAGAAAACTATACAATCATTCCAATAGATGCTTGAAAATCATCTGATAATATTCAACAGCTGTTCACTTAAAATTTAAAAATAACAACAAAGTGTCAAAAAAACAAAGACTGAAAGAGACCATCCTTATCTTGATGCAGTGTAACAAAGAAGAGGATAGATTCTGGAATCAGACTGCCTTTGTTCAAATCCCAACTCTTTATTTTTTGTAAAACATCTTAGCCAAGTTATTTGATATCCCTCACTTTCATTTTCCTTATCTGTAAAATGAGGATAACACCACCACCTACCCACATACCACCTAGGACTTTTGTGAAGATTAAATAGTCAATAAACATAAAGCACTTACAATTTACCTGGCTCATAGTATGTACTCAATAAACGGTAATCTGTTGCTATCAGTGCAGCTCTTGCTGTTGCTGCCACAATCCGTTATCAGAAACCTAGAGCAAACATCATATTCAAAAATAAAAATTAGAAGCATTTCTATCAAAGTCAAAATTCAAACAAGATGCTTGGGAGTCATCACTTATTCAACACTGTTCTAGATGGCTTAACCAAAAATAGAACAAATGATGATATAAAAATGGAAAAAGAAAAGCTTGTAGATGATATTATCTATTGAGAAAAAGAATGAGAATCAAATGACAAACTACCACAACTACTGAGCGTTTAACATAATAGTTAAACAAAAGATCATCAAAAAACGTAGCTCTCCTATATACCAGGAATAACCAATTAAAATGTAAAAGAAAAAATCCTATTCACAATAGCATCAAAAACTATAATAACTAAGAAAAAATCTAATCAGAACTATGTAATAACTTTATACAGAAAACTATAAACCCTTACTAAACAGCTCATCAGTTAAGACTTAAATACCATGGAATGGAAAACAAAATATACATAGTACAGACATTGGTTCTTCACAAATTACTATCTTCATGTAACATAATTTAATCTAAATTACAAAGTAGTTTATTATAGAACTTTACAAACCAATTTAAAATGTCATATAAGACATTAGATAATAACCAAAAGCCCATTTTCAAAAGGAAGAATAAAAAAATACTTGCCCTATCATCTATTAAGGCACACCGCAACATTATAGTAATTAAGACAGGGCACTGCATGGGAGTAATTTGATCAATGGTATAAAACAAAAAATCCAGAAACAGACCCATATATATTTAAGAATTTAATCATCTGATAAAAAAAAAAAAGCACCTCATATCACTGGGGAAATAAAGGACCATTTAATAAATAGTACTGGGACAACTGGCTCCACAAGCAAAAAGATGAAGAGTTCTACTTCATTACACATACATACACTCCAGATTAAGGATCTTTAGATTTCAAGTATGGGAAGAAAATACAGAGTTATGTTTATGACCTTAGAGTCAGGCAAGTCCCCCTACACATTATCACTGACTGTTTTAGACATACGAAAAGGTTTACAGAGTATTTTGATGACGATTTACGTTCCCACTACAGCTTAAGAAATAAAACATAACACATATAGTTGAAGCCAAATAAACAGGTCTTGCTCTTAAGAAGTTTAAAATTTAGAGAGATAGAATATGCACAGAATGCTACGGGAGCATAGAGAATAACCCAATTCACAAAGGATCCAGGAAGGCCCAGAAATGAAATACAAGTAAAGATTTTCCTAAACAGAGAAAATAGCATGCATACACATGAGCTATAAGCCATCTTTGACTCTAAATGTCAAATGAAGATAATCAATAGCAAAATTCCAGCACGTGCCAGGGTACAAACCAGAGCTGTGGTATCTGAAACCCAGCTCTGATGAGTTTACTTTAGGGGATGGAGGTGAGGGTATATATACAACAGAACATCCAAACAAAAACAGATTGTGTAGACAACCAATATGAAATGCACTCTTCAGAAGTAATGATGAAACCAATCTACCTTAGAGCACAGGATGAAACTGATGAGTCTGAGTAAAGAGAAAATGAGGGTGCCTGGGTGGCTCAGTTGGTTAAGCGACTGCCTTCGGCTCAGGTCATGATCCTGGAGTCCTAGGATCGAGTCCCACATCAGGCTCCCTCTGACCCTCAACAGCTGTTCACTTAAAATTTAAAAATAACAACCAAGTGTCAAAAAAAACAAAGACTGAAAGAGACCATCCTTATCTTGATGCAGTGTAACAAAGAAGAGGATTGATTCTGGATTTCTTCTCCCTCTGACCCTCCCCCCTCTCATGCTCTCTCTATCTCATTCTCTCTCTCAAATAAATAAATAAAATCTTTAAAAAAAAAAGAGAGAAAATGAAAATTTGGAGGCAGAACATCCAAATTTTAACAGTGCAACAGGTTTACTGTGCTGAAAGGAATAAAGCTCCTGCTCTGAATATGTAAACATAAAGCTTTAAAATAATAATCTATGCTACAGCCACATTTCAACACATATAGTTCTCTTAGTCATGATCCATTAGCTAACTAATTCCTCATTAAGTCTCATTAAGATATACTAGACAGACACAGAATGAAAAAGAGACTGTAGACATTGTAACAAGGAGTGTTTCTGAACATTGTTGACCGGTTGTTTCTCGAATTTCTCTTATCTCCTGATTTCTACGTCATGGTATCATGTGGTTGAATTCTTTCATTTAGCTTCTTTATGTCTCCTTCACTGAATTCTCTGCTAGGGTTTACCTCCTGGCTATGAAAGTACCCAAGTACTTGGAATCTACTGTTTTTTAAAAATACCAACATATGAACACATAGGACTTGAAGTATCACTATCTCAAACAAAATAATTTCAAGAATTCTGGCTGGGATCTTTGATTCCAGTTATGTATCATTGTCTTGGATATTCTGCCTCTGACTCAAATAGAAAGGTCTAAAAACAATACACAAATACACACATGCTGGTGCACACATATAGATATAAATGCACTGACTTCTAAGAAAAGTTGTATCTTTTTCCCCCATCTAAGATCACCCTTCTTGAACTGCCTAAGTCAATGGGGTCAACTGTTGCCTCTTACCTATCCATTAAATTATAGCTTATCTAATCTTCTTTCATGATGTCTCTCCCATTTGTCTCTTCTTTTCTACCCTCTACCATGACTAACATAATTTAGGCACCGATCACCTTACTATTTATCTGCCTTCCTGCTTCCAGTCTCTTTCCATCCTCCAAATCATTCTGACATTATAGGTAGATGAATCTATCTAAAACACTACTTTAAACTCGTCACTCTTATCTTCAGAAGCTTTTTAAAGGGTCAATAATAATGCCAAATATTTTAGCTATTTAAGAACCTAAAAATTTGGCTTCATGTGCCTGTGTAAACTATCTTCTCCAGTATTTAAAATCTATTCCAGAGGGGCCCGCCTGGCTCAGCTGGTAGAGCAAGTGGCTCTTGATCTTGGGGTTGCTGAGTTCAAGCCCCACATTGTGTGTAGAGGTTACTTAAAATAAACAAATAAATAATAAAGTCTATTCTAAAAACCCCCTCTACTCAGACTGTTCCCTCAAGCTACCCCACCACTGCACATCTAAAGAGAATAGCAAACAATCTGCTGAAATTATTTATGTAGTTTCCCATATGCAAAGCAAATATTTAAGTTCTTCATTTTCCTTGACCTCATCATGCCATTCACATCTTGGTCTACTTTTTATCATTCCCTACTCCTATAGACTAAGCTCACTCCTACAGACTAAGCTCACGCCACAGTAAACTACTAGACTTTCTCTAACACACTTTGTTATTTCAGAGTTTGTGCTTCTACATATGCTATCCCCTGACTCTACAATGTCTTTTCCCAGACTCTGCTTTGCACCATGTATAACTTCGATGAAACATCATCTCTCCTGTGAAATTTCCCTGTTCCCACAAACATCTTTGCTCCCAATGCACTTGTGTACAGTTCTATAATAGGACTGGTAACACTGTACTGTAATTATTTGTTTCTATGTCTTGATATCCTCAGAATCTAAGATACTTTGAGGCACATAGAGGACAATCAAGAGTGGGTTTTAAAAGACCTCCTCGAATGGACATATTATTCTAGTCACTGCCAGTCAAGTATACTATATGAAGAGGGAATATATGCGTCACAGTTAAGAGCTCAGATTCTGAAGCCAGGCTATCTATGTATGAATTCTAGATCTACCCCTTATTAACTGTGTGGCACTGGACAAATTAAACCTCTCTTTGCTTTGGTTTCCTTCTTTGTAAAAGGAAGATAGTAACATTTACCTCCTAAGGTTATGAGGATTAAAAGAATACGGACAAAGTGCTCAGAACAGTGACTGGCACAAAATAAGTATTACATATGTATCGCCTATTATAATTAATATACCTTGGTTATTTCTGACTCTTTCTACATAGATCTTTTTTTTTAAAGATTTTATTTATTTATTTGAGAGAGAGAGAGAGAGAGAGAGGGAGAGAAACAGCATGAGAGGGGATAGGGTCAGAGGGAGAAGCGGGCTCCCTGCGATGCGGGACTCGATCCCAGGACTCCAGGATCATGACCTGAGCCGAAGGCAGTCGCTTAACCAACTGAGCCACCCAGGCGCCCATCTACATAGATCTTTATTTGGAATGGGTTTCCTTCATTTTTCTCTTTATCCAAATCTCATAAAGGTTTCAAGTCTGACCTCTGCTCAATCCTTTGATCATTCCAACCGTTAAATAATCACTCCCTGATTTAAATATAGCAGTTTCCCTATCATTCTACATTTAACTGAAACTGCCTTGCATCCTCACAATTTTTCATACATCTGTCAGCCCAATTTCTGTAAACTCTATAAAGGTCCTAAGAATACCTCATGCATCTTTGTGAATTCCTATAGCCAGCAGTAAGTGTTTAGTATTTGTTGTGTAAAATAATAAGAGTAGAAACTTCAACTCTGATCATGCAACCTTTGCACAATCAAAGAAATAGAGAAGACTGTTGAGAACATTCCACGCTTCTCTGGGAGCCAGGCTGCTAATGTATCAGGGCCAGGGAGTCTTGACTCCTGTTAAAATGAGAAGCTCTCACTTCTGTGGGGGGAAAAACCTTCCTTGCAGATCAGTTATGGGGAGTAGGCAAGTTCCCAAACCAAACTGTAGTAGTGGATCCTTTAGGAGAAATGTGTCAGCATGATAAAATGACCAACTGAGAGTACAGGATTTGGAATTACACAGATCTAGGTTTCACAGCGACCCTAACCCTCAGTTTCCTTCTCTATAAAGGATATCACAACATTTTACTTCATAGGTATATAATAATCGACATTCACCCTAATATTTAACTGCAGTGCAAATTCCCTTGGGAAAATTTTTAAATAAGCTGAAAATACTGCAACTCATAAATAAAAATGAGAACACTGTGCACGGTTTTCATTACTAAGAAAATATATTAACTTAGCTGGCAGCAGTATTTATAATATTCTCAATTACCTATGAGAAAATTAAACATGTATAGCATTGCCAATTATACAGACTTGAGGGGAAAATTCCACTACAAAACTTATTCTCCTTTTCTCACACTTTCTCCATCCTGTAATTTTCTTCTTCCACGTGATTAAAAACAAGTGTTCAAAATAATCTCCCAAAACAAATAGCTGGAAAACATGATTTAACTTAGTATCAAGTTGGTCCTATAAACGTAGAAGTCCATTTACAGTGCAAAAATACTTCCAAGTGGGAAGTATCATGAATTTAAGAAATTAAGATAATGGCGAACAGCTAGCTCATACGATGATCTGAGTCAGGAATTTCAAATTAAGAGTTGCTCCAACTTGAAGCTGGCAGTCGCACAGTCTAAAGGGTTTGTTTACAGCACTGACTTAACCAAAGGCTCCGATCTTTTATCAGAGTCATCCTGGCATTCTAATCACTAATTATTTTCAAAGCAGCGTAACTGTTGAAAATGCCAGTACTACACAAATTAAACCGAAATGAGTGTTCTTCTTAAGGGAGGAAAAACCCAAAAACCAAAAGTGGCAAGTCTTAGTTCTAACCTGTGATATTTTTTCAGTTGGAGTTATGAATAAATTGCTGTTCATCTACTGAAAAACAGAACCTTGCCGCTTGGAATAACCTTTAAGCTTGGGGGAGGGGTGAACTTTTAAAGATGGATTCGGTGCTTCTCAGATACAGTGTTATGTGGGATTCGTTAGGACGGGTACACGTAAGAGGTAGAAAGAAGAAAAAAGACGTTAGTTTAAAATGTTTTAATTAAGGTGAACTTTCAACCCTGTGAAACATTACAACTTCAGGATGAAAAGATGGCTTTGGTGAAGAGATACTAATCTCCGGGCAGAAAATGAAGAGTCAAGTGCGGGGCTAGTAGAAATTAAGGGAAGGTGGAAAAGGGCAAAAAGTGGGGATTTGGGGGCGTGGGCCTAAGAAGGGCGTGTGGGTGGATGTGTGTGTGTGCTGAGGATAAGGTCTGCGCTTACGTTTGAGAAATATAGGCGACAAAGTTGTAGAAATCAAATTCAGAGGCGTGTGAACACGGAAAGGAAGGAGGAATGTGGGGATTTCCAGGCTGGAACTAACAAGTTTGGGACGGACACGGTATCAGGGCGCCTCTCTCCCGGGGAAGGGTGGCCCCCTCGAGTGCCAGGTCTCCAGGCCCGAACTCCCCGACCTAGCCCTCACCCTCCCGCTACACGGCCCTTCACTCGGCCACGGCACCTCCTCACCTCAAGCCGCGGCGCCTCTCTCATCCGCGTCTGTAGAGCGCACGACTCCCTCCGCGCCAGGCCGGGCCGGGCCCGCCGGCCGCGCAGCCGCGGCCTCCGGCTCAGCTGCGCCCGAGCGTTCCCCGCGCCGCTCCGCGGGCCTGTCGGCTCCCCGCTTCTGCTCCGGCTGGCTCCGCGTTCCTCCCCGCAGACGCGGCACGCGGCCCTCCTCCCACGGCGGGGCGTTGCGCCCCCCGACCCCGCCCCGCAGCGCCCTCGCCGCGCCCCGCCTCCGGACTTAGGGAGTCTATGCTGATTGGCTCCAGAGAGACCCGGCGCGCCAGGGTATTGGCCGGGCGGTAGCCCGACGGCGAGGGGGCGGGACTCCAGGCAGCTACGATTCCCGTAACGGGGATCCTGGCGTCCGGGATTCCGGCGGCTGCGCCAGCGTCGCTTTTCCTAGACCAGATCGAAGGGTTCCCCCCACCTCCCCTCTGCGGGCGGAAGGAGCGGAATGTTCCATTTTTTCGTGGAGTAACAGGGTCGTGAATTGCAGCCCGGCTGCTTTGTACGCCTGCCGCTCTCCCTTCTCGTTGCGGTCCCGCGGCCTTCCTTCGCGTCCTTCCCCGAGGGACTCAGAGCCGCGAGGGACCGCCGGGCTCCCTTGGGGACAGGGGAGGCGTGGGAGTTTCTCAGGGAAAGTGAAGGACTAGATGGTCGTGACTCCACACGAGATTACCGCAGATCGTGGTGGCGGCGGCCTCGGTCCAAGTCTTACATAAATGAACCTTGCCACGATATATATTTTTAAGTTGCTAAATGAGTTTGGCTGTGATTGATCAGTGAACCCAGAGCTGGTGTGACACGCCAAGAAGCTAGTTCTTTGCGGTTTGTACTCCCAGTCTGTGATTTAAATACCTAGCAAAAACTAATTCCATTATATTCCTCCCCCGCCTGGAAATGGACCTTCAGGCTGTGATTTCTTTATTCCCCCCAAAAGCACGATGAGACACTTCTAAGAAGCCAGGGCTTTGGAAGAATGGCGGGGGCCCGGGGTGGGGGGCGGTGTGTGTGTGTGTGTGTCTGGAAGAATGGTGCGTGTGTGTGTGTGTGTGTCTTTGGAAGAATGGCGGGTGTGTGTGTGTGTGTGTGTGAAATTACAAAGTTTTTCATTATATTGAGGATTCAGACAGAGGAATACACAGAACAAATTATGATCTCTTGTTGATCAGATAATTCTGAAAAGACACGGAAAAGCAGCTCTAGTGCTAAGGGAGTTCCAAGCAAACCTGGGGATGTAAGAGAGACAAAGCTCCACTATGTTCAGCTCTTGCTGCTCCCTGTCATGCTACAGCCAACCTACAGAGTGTGGCTGGATTGTATTCTAGTTCTGCCATTTATAGGGATGTTTAAAACAAACGTATAAAATTTAAATTAAAATTTTTATTTAGATCTAGCAAACATTTATTTAGAGGCAATGTATAGTGGCTAAGTGTACTTTTCTGGTTGCAAATTGCCTGATTTTGCATCCTGGTACTGCCACTTCTATGTCTGTGATGGTGGGCAGGTCATCTCAGTTTCTTTATCTGCAAAATGAAAATAATGGTATCAACCTAATGGGATTGCTACAAAGGTTAAATGAGTTAAAATATATGAGGTGCTTGGTATGTAGTAGGTGCTCAATAAATGTCAGCTGTTATTGAATGTCTGCTATGTCAGGGCTTCCCAAACCTTTTGCATCAAAGCATATATTGAAAATGATGGTATTTTACTGGTACAGGGAATAAAGATGAAGGGAATCAATATTTCACAGCACACTAGTCTGCCTTGCACACTGGTCAAGAGAGCAAAAGACTGAGTCAGTCCTTTCATGGGTATCTCTTTATTGGCTTAACCCAGTTCTAACCTCTAAGAAACTCACATTTTGTGGGGATGGTTAAAGTCCTGGGCTAAAAAAATGAATCAATACTGAAGAAAGATTTTTCAGAAGAGAAAGAGCCCTTCTCCCCTGGGCTGGAATTGCATGACTTTGCAGACACCTCTTTAGGGTATTAGCCCTAAAATGACCACTTTTCAGTTAAGGATTTGTCATGAGAAAACCCTGTCAAGATGCAACAGTAAGTGGGAAAAGTGATTGATATAATCAAGAACTTGCCATGTATGCCTTAGGGTCATTTGGGATTTCACATATATCAAAAGCATAGGGTGGGTAAGTGTACAGTGAGAGAGCAACATGGAGGACAATGAGGTTACTGAGAGTAGGTGAACAAAGCCAGGAAAAAAATGCTACATAATAAAGATAATCTATGCCGAAGACCAATATTGCCTGCTTGCTATTTGCATACGGTTGGCCATGACCAAGATAGCCATTTACTTCCTTGCCTGTGCCCAGTTGTTTTTCTGAAACTCTGTGTCAGCCTTGGAACGATCTGCATGTCCTGCCCCAGCCTAATGATTTCAGTATCCATGATAATGACTCAGTTAGAACCCTGACCTCATGGTTTCTCATCTTTCTCTTTTCCAATCATCTTCAACTTCATCTCTATTAGAAACCCACAGATGTAGTTACTCCCTGAATCCAGTCATCAGACGAAATCACTCCACCTGCAAAATTTTCAATTGTTAAGTTTCTCTCTACCCACAGATACCTACTCTTGTTATCTCTTTTACTCACTCTTTCCCATTGAGTCTACGGTTTGCCCTCAGCGTGACCTCTAGTCTTTGTTCTCAAAGTTTATCAGTTATTTCCTACCTTTGCTTATCTCCCTAAATTGTGGGAACCCTTTTATCGACTTTTTTTAAACTGCACTCTCACTAGTATTTTCAATTCCCTTGACCTTCAGCCATGTTTACCTTATCAATGCTATTTCCTAACTATTTCCCTTGTCCTTGAACTATCAGCCCCACCCCAACATCTATTCCTAGTACAGAACCTTGTTTCATCATTCCCTGGAAAAAACCAATACCATTATTTGTGAGCAATCTTCACTTTTCTCCAATTTAGGAGGCATGTGTATATACCCCTATCCTCTTTTCCCACTGCCTTACTCTTTTAAAAAGGTTTCCTCCTCTGTGTTCTTGGTCCCACTCCTTACCAATTTCAGTCCCCTAGTTTTATATTTATCATTATTAGCATAAAATACCTTAGAAAATTTTAAAAATTAAATATTTGATCAATGGTGAGTTGGGGACAGTGTTTCTGTATGTATTAAAATTTTTGTAATAACCTAATAGCATCTAATTCACCAAGCAGAATGAAAAGTAATTCAAAATAAATTTAAAAATGAAGCAGTTTCAGCCACACTGTAATCTACTTAATAAGTTTAGCATGAAATAGGAACTTAAATCAAGTTGTAACTAAATTTCCAAGCTCAAAAACATGACAAATCCATTTCTCAGCAACAAAACTAAGCAATAACGTAACTCCATTTCAAAAATTTCACATAATCACTGGGCATACTGTAAGAACACAACTTGAAAGTTTTCCACAAACCGAACAAAGCCATATAATGAGCATCTAGATCAAGAAAAAGAACATGACCAACACACTCCAAAGACCCCTCCTGCTTCCTTCTAGTTATTGCAAAGCCACTGGTGACCACTATTCTGACTTCTAACACCATAGTTTTATGGCTGTCATTTTAAAATTGAGAATTTAGCAGAAACTTCTTAATCTCACTAGAATTTGCTTATTTTATTTCATTGTAATGGATAACTATAGTAGAGCAAGAGAGTTAGAAATGAAATAAATACCACTCTGTATAAAGGTTAAACACAGATGCAAATTGAAGCAGAGGGCATTTAGCTTCTTGTCACTAGACCTCTGGGGAACCCTGTCAAATAGCCCTGGGCTTTCAGGGAGCAGGAAAGGCCAGTGCAGAAGTGTGAGCAGCAGTGAGGGAGAATCGTTTTCCCAGACACATACACAGGATAAGGAAGTCAGGTATTGGGACTGTAACTTTGCAATAGCCCAGACTAGCTTCAGAATATCATCCTGAGGATTTTCACCACACTTTGCTTTTGTTAACTCTGACACAACTCTTGGAGAAGCCAAGGTACTTCCTTTGTTGACCCTCATATGCAAGAATACTTTTCAGTTACAAAATAGATTCCTTGGCTTCAAGTCTGATATTTATACTAAAACCAGACAAATAAGTACCAACATGAACTTTTTTTAAAAAATATTTTATTTTATGGGCTTGTAGGGCCAAGAATTCCCAGCCCTTTGCCTAGAATTTGGATAGTGATTTGGTACTAATTGTATTAAATAATGGCTTAGGCAAATGTGTGTCTGTCTCCTCAAGGGTAGCTGGCAGTACCCACTGAAAAGGCAAAAATTAAATGAATATACTTCTTGACATAGCTGGAATTTCTTGAAAATTGTCCTTTCTGATTTTTCTTTAGAATTTTAGGGTCTGATCATTTTCCAGGATCAACAAATAATAAACGGAATTTAGTGTCAGAGTCAAATGAAATGGGGAACAAAGCTAATCTAGCTCATATTTCAAATTATGAGAATCATTAGTTTGCTGTAAGTGGGCACGACAGACAGACTCTTAGTGTAAATTCTATGACCTCTGGCTTCTCGGTGTTCTTTGTGTGATTTCTTCTCCATGAGAGAAGGGATGCACAGCACTATGTTATGTAAGATTGCAGTGCCCATCTTGCTAGTGTCTCTCTGTTGTAGCTTTGAGAAATCAAATTGCCATGTGGTGGCCTCGATGTTATATGAAATCGTAATACTTACCTTGTGAGGAGACTCACTCTTCCTTGCTAGCTTTGATGAAGCAAACTGCCATACTACGAGCTGTCATATGGAAAGATCTATGTATCAAGAAATGAAGGGTGGCCTCTGGCCAACAGCTAGTAAGAAACTGAAGCCTTCAGTCTTACAACTGAGGGAGATGAATTCCACCAACAAAAGCAGATCCTGCTCAAGTCAAGTCTCAGATAAGACAGCATCCTCAGCCAACAAAATGATTGTAGCCTTGTGAGACCCAAAGCAGAGAAGCCAGTCAAGCTGTGCTCAGACACTTGACCCACAGAAACTGAGATAATAAATGTGTGTTGTTTTAAGATGCTACGTTTGTAGGGCCCCTGGGTGGCTCAGTTGGTTAAGCGACTGCCTTCAGCTCAGGTCATGATCCTGGAGTCCCGGGATCGAGTCCCGCATCGGGCTCCCTGCTCGGCAGGGAGTCTGCTTCTCCCTCTGACCCTCCTCCCTCTCATGCTCTCTGTATCTCATTCTCTCTGTCTCAAATAAATAAAAAAAATCTTTAAAAAAAAAAAGATGCTACGTTTTTAGTAATTTGTTGTGCAGCAATAGAAAACCAACACAGGAGGCGAAAGTTGAAAGCTATTTACATATATGTTCATACTGAATGTTATTTTTACACATTTAAATCCAGCATTTCTTAAGTCAGTAAGAAGATCTGGATCTGGAGAAGGGAATTATATCAAACAGGAGCTTGCTCTGGTATTCCAAAGACCCAGGAATTAAGGGGATTTATTTATTGTCCCAATAAATGGTCCAATTTATTCAGTTCATTTGTCCCATAAACAATTACTGAAAATCCACTATGTGCCAGGCACTTAGATATGGATCTGAGTAAGACACATGTGTTGGTCTTGAGAATCTCAAAGTCTAATGAGAGAGAGAGGTAAATAAGCCAGTAATTACAGCCATGTCCTGGTGCCATGAGAAAGGTACTAAGAGAACATTTGGAAGTGCTCGCACAGGAAAACTTAAGGAACTGGGGATTATAAGAACTCTTGTACTTCTCTCTACCTCCGATCTCACATCCTCTCACTCTGTGGTGGGTTATAGATGGCCAGAAATTCTTTGATACTTCTCTGTGGAGGGGTGAAGTCTATTTCCCTTCCTAGTGAATTTAGCTAAGCTTGAGCATGACACTGATCAATACAGGACAGAAAAAACCAGTTCAAGGGCTAACCTTTAAGAGAAGCTTTCACCTTGGTCTCTGGAAGTCCTGAGCCACCACGAAAAAGTCCAACTTCCTTGTGAGACCATATGGAGAGGGCTGAGATGACATGGAGAGGGGCAGGGGCCCAGCTGCCCAGTTACCAGGGATGAGTATAAAGCCATCTTGTAATGTCCATACCAGACCAACTGCCAGATGGATACTACTGTGGTGTCAATCAGTGCCACATAGAGTGGAAGAATTGCTTACCTGAGCCCTGCCCAAATTCCAGAGCTCCAAAACTCTAATACATAATAAAATGTTAATCGTTAAGTTATGTCAGGGAGGAATAAACAACCAGAATGAAACCCTCAAATCCATCATGCGCAATGCTGAAAATCTGACCATTTCTTTCAGTGCCTTTCTATCACCTAAGCCACTTTTGTGTGTCATAAAAGTCCTCCATTACCTGACCTCTACTTACTTCTCCAACCTTATCTTTATCATAACCTCCAACTCCAGGCTGTCATAGTACCAATTTGCTAATGGTTCCTGGGCTAGCTTCCAATATACTGTTTCTTGCTTCTATGCCAAGAAAAGAGAGCTTTACGCTGTTCCCTTGCCCTATCATTGCCTTCTTTACTTTCGTTGCCTAACTTGATTAC